TTAGCCAAAGATCTTTCCATTTGTTAGAATTTATAAGCTGCAGGAAATGACTAATTTTGCCCCAGAATCAAGATAATTTCAGTCCCAATGAAAGTTTTCCTTTTAGGGCAGCCTCTGCAGCCTTGTTTTGGCAAATGCATGCATTTCAACAATCTTTTTCAAAACAGCCCACAAGTCCTCATACCTGACTCTCTTAATGGACCCTATTTGGGAAATCAATCTATTAAGGAACAAAATGTCTATTGTTAGATTCTTCTCTCATAATACTATTTTAAGTTTTTCTCCTTCCTGCTTTCTTCTTACAGTCACTCGTTTATCCATTTCTCTTCCTTCTTCTCTTTTTCTAACCCAACTTTTGTTACCTCACCCCCTTCCAGTTTCCTCGTTGTCCTTGAGGGAATTCTGTCTCCTCCTGTTCTATTTCTTCAACCCTCAGATTCACATCTCTTCCTGTTATGATTGGTTTCCCATAGACAATCTGTTCCTGTAGGGTTCATCACCTCTTTTACAGAGAATTGTGTATGGAATAAGTGAAATCTAAATTATCTGGCTATGTAGTGATCCACAAACATATGTGAATGTCTCACAAATGCAACATGTAATTATCCACTGTTGATTTCAATAAGGCATAAGTCCCTTTGGTATAAGCTTCCTGTGTTCAAGACGTAGCATCAGTAAATTCTTGAATTTTCTATGTTGATTGGCATCTCTGTGAATTAAAGACATTAAGGGTAAATGTCACTTTAATACTTTTTCATTTTTTGTTGCATTGTGACAAATTTTTTGTCTTGTTCTTTAGTCCAAGTTACATAGTCTTTGATGCTTCAAAGGTCAGCAGGAGTCTAAAACTGGGTTGTGAACTGAACTATACGGTTCTTCTCCCGACTTTTTACAGATTCACCATGTGGCTGACTGTAGGTCGCGGGACTCTCCTGTCTATTTCATCAGGCCGACAAAGTTAACATTTATTGTCCACTTATCACATGGTACTCACTCACTCGCAGTGACCTACCCGTGACACAACCCTGAGAGTGGGTGCTATCATGATGTCTGCTTTACAGATGAAAACCTGAGACATAGGGAGGTTCACTAATTTGCCCAAGGTCATCCAGTAGGTGACAAAGCCCAGATTTTAATTTGAGAAGTCAGATTCCAAGTCGGAGGTGCTGACCGCCATACTTTATTGCCTTCCTGACGCGGCAACTTGAAAATGCACACGCTGGCCTCCTGACTGTAGCCTTCATCACCGCTCCATTTCGTTCACCCACTTACACAGAAGCGTCCCTGTCCATCTTTCAGAACTGCTCTGGCTCCGAGACCGTGAACTCTGTGCTTTTTCTGTCCGTTACCTCCTCACCTTCCGTGCCTCCTGGCCTCTCTAACTACTAAACGCGCTCAGCACCTTCACGGAGGCCCCCTGACCCTGCTCCCTCAGGGCCACTCATGCCTCTTCTCCGCTTCCCTTATTCTGTTGTCCCAGGAGGACTCTTCAAGGCTCCAGTCCACCTTGCATTTTTCTCCCTTTTCACTTCAGCCACTCTTTCTGGCTGGAATATTCTTTCCACCATCCCTCCCCTCTGTTTTAGCTTCATTAAGCACTTTACCCAAACTTCGAGCCACTCTCCGAACACCACCTCGCCTCTCCACGGTCCCCAAACACTACCTGCTCCATAATGTTCTTCCTGGTCATTTCAAAAAGTCAGACGTAATCTCTCCCTCCTCAGTACTCCCAACACTTAGTTTGTAACACAAACATAGTGCTTATTTAGTCTACCTTATAATCCAGTAATATGTGAATTCCCTTGGCCTCCCTCTTGGTTTATAATCCTAATTTAGAAGATCTAGCCCGATGCCTTGTGCTGGACTGGGGTATGGAGCAAAGGGCTAGAATAGGGAACAAAGAACTTAACAACTGAAAAAAAAAATGTTTTATTTCGATCCTTAATTTTACTGGTAAGGACACTGAAGCCCAGTTTAAGAGACAAGTCGTACTGAGAGTGGGAGATAGAAACACACTGTTCCTTCCCTCCTTGAATGCATACCATGACTAAAATCGTATGTGCATGGGGCACAGCGCTAAGCACTAGGGATACAAAAGCAAGAGAGTTTACTAGTCAGAAAATCAGAGTCTACTGAGCAGAAAACAGGTTATTGCCATACAATGTGATGAGACAGTGTTGGTGGGATAAATATATAAATAAATGCATGAGGCAAAGAATTTACTATCTTTGTAATAATATTATGTGATCTTTCTAATAGTAAGTGTGAGGAAACATAATTTTTAATTCAGCTAATAAGATCCCATCCCAAGCGGTAGGAAGAAATGTCGAATCTGATTTGACAGACAAACTGATCTCTATCAGCTTGAAAAAGGGAGAGGACTATTGCAAATGGGGAGGTGATATTTTCCATCATACTCTGTTTTTCAGTTTTCCTCCCTTTGGTTTCTTCTGCTGCTCTGTGTTCAGGATTTAGCTCTGAACACTCACTGCCCTCCTGGGATAACTTCCGTCTTGTTTTTTAACTGGCCGTATGTTCACGTCAACCAGACCAAACGCTCTACGGACTTGGACTGGATGTACCCACTGCTCATTTTCTTTCTTTATCTCTAAACTTGAATGTTCTTCTTGTAATGTTAGCTCTTCTCACTCCCCTGAAAGTCAGGTTTTCTGACAGGTATGGCGCCTGCCTAATGTGGACGCCCGAGAGAGAGTGACAGGATTTACGACAAGGGTGTCTCCCAGACTTACGGCATGCCTCACCTGGAAAGCTCAGGTCTGCTCTACCCACAGTGCATCAGGAAGGACCTCCAGTTGGGTGGCGTGAGAGGGAGTTTTATCTGAAAATGGTTCCAAAACCTGTATAGGAGATAAAGCGCGGAAATACGTTTTGGAAATTTCCATGATGGCTGCTTGGCCAAGATCTGTTTGGTACCTGGTACTGAGCCCTCCCCTAAGAGATGGGGCTTCTGTACTGTTTCAGTGCCTGGCATTTTCAGTGTGTTGAATGTGGACCCTTAAACCAGGACAACTGTGTCTTATTTTTATCTTATCGTGGTGGGCCTTGCTTTAAGGAATTCTTGTATGTGAAAATATAGATTAGTATTCTGTACACAAAAGGATTAGAACCCGGTACTAGTGAGGGTCCAGGTAGCTGGGTCCTCTCCTACGTGTATCTGGGGAGATAAAACTGGCTTCCTGAACAAGTGGGCAGACTGTGCCCAAAGCCTATGCGCTGTGTGCTCGCCGGATCCTGCAGCTCCGCTCGTGGGAATGTGTCCTGAGGAAACCGCCCTGACAAGAAACACCGACAGGTTAACCCGCCACATCATCCAACAGTGAAAAGTTAGAAACAACTTACAGGTAGATCAAAGATTGTTCAGTAAACACGTAGGTACAAAGGGACACATGATATTAGGGGCGCCTGGGGGGCTCAGTCGGTTAAGCGCCCGACTCTTGATTTCTGCTCAGGTCATGATCTTACAGTCCGTGAGTTCAAGTCCCATATCGGGCTCTGCACTGACAGCGTGAGCCTACTTGGGATTCTCTCTCCCGCCCCCCCCTGCCCCTCCCCCTTTCTCTCATGTGCTCTCTCTCTAATATAAATAAACATTTTTAAAAGTACATACAATATTACTGGATGTTTACAGAAAGCGCATGTGTAGGTGCTTATAAATGAAAAGGAAAGATTAACCAGATATAAACGGCTCTCTCTGAGGGGTGGAGACATTTGTGGTTTTAACTCTTTTTTGAATTTTTAAATACCTTTCCTCAAACTTTCTACAGTGGAGATATATTATCTTTACAACCAGTAAAATGTTCAATAAACTCATAAATCCCATTTGAAGAGAGACAAAGATAAACTGGGCTGTGACTGTTTCCCATGATTCATTAGGCGATCCTCTTACATTTATGACCTTCATTACCAAACAACAGAACAAAATAGTCTTTAGCACCAATATCCTACAAGAGGAAACTATTTTCTTAAGAAAATAACCTCTTGAATCTCCCCAAAAGTGGCCTCATTCCTGTGTTTCCAGAACAAGAAGTCAGGCATATGTTCTGTTCAAAATGAACAAAAGTCAAACATGTTTTACAGCCATTAAAAAGTTTGAGGTTCGGGACTCCCGGCCGGCTCGGTCGGTGGAGCACGCGACTCTTGATCTTGGGGTGGTGAGTCTGAGCCCCACCTTGGGTGTAGAGATTACGTAAAACTAAAATCTTTAAATAAAAAACTGAGGCTGATCTGTGTGTGTCTCAACACGAGGGATGCCAAAGATAACACTGATGAGTAAAAAAAAAAAAAAATGCAAGCCACTGATCTTTCGTGCTCAGATTATATTTAAAAATTAACGGCAACAACAAACTTTTCCCTCCAACTGTATGGGACATCGTACCAGAGAAATGTTGACAGAAACAGGCCTGGGATGACTGATACGCACTGAACTTGAAGAGAGTTACCGAGAGAGCTCTGGTGAGTGGGCGGGGGGAGAAGCAGGAAACAGGGTTTTGCGGGATGGGTGGGGTGGTGTTATTTACTTTTTACTTCGTATGCTTCACCATTCTTTACATTTTCTAAAAATAATTTTAAAACGTTCAAAAGGAAATCGGTAAAAGAGAGACACGCCTGTGCTGCGGGCTCAAGGCCGAGGCAGATGGTACATTTTGCTTACTTACGGTGAAATTCCTGCACTTTTCAGAGGGTCAGTGGTAATGATAAGAAACGATTCTCCCTCTTGGTGATTCTTTGGCAAATGTAAACATGGCCAATGGGCCTTTCTGATGTCTCAGCTCAAATATTCCAAGTATAGTCTTAAAGATGTACAGTTGTGTAACAGGAGACTTACATGGTTTTTGAAGTGGAGGGCGGGCAGACACTCAGTGGGCCATCCCCCCTCACCAAACCGTCCTCCAAATGCACGCTGGAGTTGAGCACAGGCCAAAATGTGACGTGGGAAAGGTCTGTCTTCAATGACCATGACTTTGTCACGTAAACACTGCCCCTCATTCTTGTCTTGGCAAACCCCCTCCTTCCCTCTCATAATGTCCTTTCATTTCTTGTACCAAGGAAATGTGGTTCAGTTCCAGAAAGGAACTGAAACACATCCGTGTGAAGGTATAAATGACTCTTTAAAATATTACTTTTGTAATCAGATTTGCTTTTTACAGGTTAACAAAGGAATGAAGCTCTAATGGTGGAATTCGCACATCCACCAGAATACGGGGGCACAGTCAGTCCCTGACTCTGCTTATATATCCGCGGCGTCCTCCACAGTGGCCTCGCACGTGCCAGGCACTTTCCAACTTACAGGTGATGGTATATGTCAGGACTCCTTTGCAGCCGGGTTTGGAATCCTATATACAAGTCGTCCCAGAGAAGACCGTTCTTTACCACATGTCTGACGACGTCAACCCGGCTCCGAATCTGAAACAGACATGGAACGAAGAGCAGGGGTGACCCAGCCAGCACCGAGTACCGACCCCTCAGGTCCCTGGGAGAAGCAGCTGTCTGGGACGGCAGGGACCCGGGCAGTCACAGTAGATGTCACAGGCCGGGGTGGGAGTGGGGGGTTGGTTGGAGAGAAGGGCCCTGAGCTCAGCAGGAAGTGAGGGAAGGAAAACGGGAAAGGGATCTGGAGCTGGGGAAGCAAGCCTCGTGGCACAGTCACATCGCTGGCTCGAAATCCACGTTCCAGCGTGTGGAATTAGCAACCGCTCTGTGCCTCAGTCTCCTCATCTACAGAACGCAGATGACGGAACCTTCCTCCGAGGGTGGCTGTGAGATTAACTGAGTCGACGCACATCCAAGACTCCCGCTGCACGGTAAGCTTTCCGCACAAGTGGGCGCTACAGTGTTATTCTCAAAGTGGCGCGTTCCAGTCTCCCGCTGGAACATTTTGCGGCACAGCCGAGCATCCGGGTCTCCGGCCGTCTGCGGGTTTCGGGCCTGCCTCACAGCAAGACCACCTCGGGTAGGGGGTCAGGCCCTTCCCTTTCGAGAATCTCAACTCCCGACACGGAAGCTCGGGGGAGGCGTCAGAGGAGTTCAGGATTAGCAGACAAGCAGAGATGGTTTGCAGCGTCAGCCGAGGGCTTACTACTCAGGTGACCTTAACCTGGCTCAGCCTCAGTTTCCTCTCTTACAGGACTGTTGGGAGAAAAAACTGATATCATTTATAAAAAGAAGTGTGCAAAGATCCGCGGTGGCTTCGACACGGCAGCCGCACCAGCGCTAAAGGTCACCAGGAGCTTTCTCGGTATCGGGCGTCGGATTTGTCCCTGGGAAACAGCACACGGAAGCCACTGGACGCCAACTTCCGGAAATGACACGCCATTATGTGGCGTAGGGTGATGAGATGGACACCGTGGTTTACTTGTCTCGCCTGCACCCTCCCTCCAAAACGACGACATCCGCTGTGAGCGCGGACACAGCTCAGCGGCTCCGTTCTTCCAGCAGAAGATTTAGAAACGTGACTGCAGTTGGGCCGGGATGAGCCTGCCCCTCGTAAGCCTGAGGTCTCATTCCTCGCACCGGGCAAGGACATGACCTTTCTAACCTTTCAACCTGGAGAAGAGCACACAGAAGACCGGGGGACACAACTGAGAAGGATTTGGGGTACAGATGGGAAGGTCCTGGTGACTGATGAGCTTTGGGGGTGAGGGAAAGGGTCACCGGGTCAAGCGTGGCTCATCGTCGGGGGTCAATGCTGCCAAAAATCCAGAAAAGAAGAAAAGAGCGGTTCTAGAGAAGGAAGAGGATGAGCTGGAATTTGAACAGGTTGAAAAGGAGGTGATGAGGATTTGGAGATGGGGTGGCGATATCGGGCGGGCTGCTGACTGGAAAGAATCTCAAGCCCGAGCGTGTTGTGGGGCAGGACATACAGATTTTGGACTCATTAGTGGAGATGCGGTACCAGCAGATGACATCGCCCAGGAAGAGGCGCGGGAGGAAGAGTGATTTGAACACAGAACCCTGGGGGGAAACAAGAACTTTAAGTGATGCCTGGAGAAAGAGAGACCCTGGAAGAATGCAGGAGACAAAGGCCGACGAAAAAAGCCCAGAGTGCGATCACAGGAATGGAGACAGGACTTCAGTTTGAAAAGATGGACCGGTCGGTCACACGCAATAAACCACCTGTGTTCTGTGCACTCTCAGGCCCAACCAACGTGTTCACAACGCACGTATACAGGTATCAGCTGTCACGGAACAGGAAACAAAGGGAGTCGTTGACCAGCAAGAGATTTCAACTAACTTCAATCTGGAATGTAGGCTGATGAGGGGCAACCAAAGACAGAGTCTGCAGAGTCCCAGAGCGCGTGGGGAGGGGCGTCCAGACGTGCAGGGGGCAGAGGTGGGTCCCAAGGGCGATGTGACGACACACAGCATGACGTACATGCAACCGCTGACCTGTTCCTACGGCCCTACGCGCTGTTCTCACTGAATACCTTCAGACAGTTCTCTGAGTAAATGGAATGGATTCTGGCGGGAGCCCAAGGGGGTGGTTTCCTCGTGATGTCCCAAAGCCAGGAGCTCCACACTTTGGAGCTTAGGGGACCCCCGACCTAACAGCTAGCTGCTCACCCCCATAACTTAAACTGGTGACCCCCTGACCAAACAGCCTAGCTCGCGGGTCATAGAGCCCGCGGTCCCTTTTTAAAAAACTGAGTTAGTTTTGTGCTCGTTTGTAAATCTGGGTATTTCACATAAAAATCCAGGCTTCTGAGTTCTCTGGAATATTCCGATCAGCTGGGGCTCATCAGGCACTGCCCCCTTCCACGTGATAGTCCCCACCCTGCTCTCCTGTTTCCAACCTGCCTTAAGCCAGCGGTGAGCACTGAAGCATGTGATCCCTGCCTTTAGGTAAAGCCCACCGATGACAAGTCCTATACAGACACAGAGAGCCCTACACCAGCTGGGGAAAGGTCTTGTCACTGGTAAATACAGATGAATCCCTTACTTCTCCAAAGTCACTTACAAAGGAAGAAAGATCAGCCCGCGGTAAGCATCAGGGCACACGGGGAGAGGCCATAGGAGCAACGCCCTCCACGTCCACGCAAGGTGACCTGCTAGCCAGCGTCGTGCGCTCGGCTAAACTGCCTTGCGACGCGAGGCAGGAAACTGTGTCAAGTTCAGCTCCCATGCATCCCTTCTGTGGCAGTGACTTAAGCAGAAAATGTAAAAGCAAAGAAGGTTGGGACCTGGCCGGGGTCTGGAGGCAGGTAAGGGACGTCGCAGGGTGACAGATCTGTAGAGACCCAGAGGAGCTCATCCAGATTGGAGCAGGAGGAGGTGGACTGCAGAGGCCATGCATCTAGGAGACACGGAGAGCTGGTGAGACAGAAGATATACTTATGAGCTTTGAAAGGCAATTAATGGTTTAAAAGAAAAAAAAAAAAAACAGAAACAGGCAGCATGAGAGGACTCTAGGAGCGCTTCCAAGGGTAGGCATAAGCAAACCTCAGCATGAGAAAATCTCCCTAAGGTCCTGGCAGATAAAAGCACCGAGAGCCACATCACAGAGCACCAGGCATGATGATGATGCACTTCCCAGTGCATTTAAATCCGCAGCAAGCGGTTGCTTGCTTGCTTTACCCAGCAGATGTGAAAAAGCGACTTTCCGTTGAATATTTTACATGAACTTGTTAATCAGAAAAGTCTGAAGATGTATCTCCTTGAAGGCGAACACATACCTCAATGTACAGATTTTGTAAATTCAGAATCTGAGGAGCAACAAAGTGGCTAAAGTCTAGAGCCTAGAGTCTAGCTAGACTCTAGAGCCAGACAGCGGAGGTCAGCCCTGTGCCCCACCGCTTGCCAGCTGGACAGCCTGCGGGCAAGTTCCTGACCGCCGGTATGGCGTTACCCTCATCCAGAAGTGGGGGATATAGTGATCTCTGTCCATAGATTGCTGCCGAATAAATGACTTAATGTTTATAAAGTGCTTAGAGCTATGCGTTTGTTAAATAAAGCAATAAATGTAATAGATCCATTTTGCTTAAAATGGGTGCTTCAACACAGGGTTCTCCTCTATGTGAAAACCCAGTTTTTTTTAAAACCCAGAAAGCAGGCGATCAGTCATTGGTTGTACTGAAGTTTCGACCTAGGATTCTCTTCAATAGCAAGTACTTTACGAAATCTTAAAATACAAATCAAATTATTAAAAGGTCGTTTAAGAACACATCTGTTAGGGGCGCCTGGGTGGCGCAGTCGGTTAAGAGTCCGACTTCAGCCAGGTCACGATCTCGCGGTCCGGGAGTTCGAGCCCCGCGTCGGGCTCTGGGCTGATGGCTCAGAGCCTGGAGCCTGTTTCCGATTCTGTGTCTCCCTCTCTCTCTGCCCCTCCCCCGTTCATGCTCTGTCTCTCTCTGTCCCAAAAATAAATAAAAACGTTGAAAGAAAAAAAAAAATTTAAAAAAAAAAAAGAACACATCTGTTATCCAAAGGTATGTTTAAACCACTACAATTAAAGTAGTGTGCGTTTATATGGCACAAGTAACAAGTTCAAGGGCAGACCGTATATCCTCCTAATTTCCCGAATGGTCGTTATGTTTATATTCACATAGAATTTAAAATTACAGTGCATGCTCCTGTATATTATTAGTTATGTGACTACCACAAAGTGGTAGAGTGGGAATACGTCCCATGGAAAGAAAAAACCAAGGCTTGGACAGGTTAAATCACTTACTCAAAGCCTATAATCAGCAGGGAGGGGGCACCAGTCCTAAGCTTGGAGCGGTCTCCAAAGCAATAGCTCTCCCTTTCCATTATGGTGCCACAGGTCAGGGATTTGCTCAAAACTGGAGCTCAATCAAAGATGTGTTGATTTATGTTGACTGAATTCCTTTTATAGGGATGCCCACTAGGTCCACTGGGGGGAAGGAGGCAGAGGTCTCGAGGCTTGCGGGTCTGATGATAGCTTAAGCGGGTCGGGTTTGGGCAGTAAGCACGTAGAGGAGCCAATCTTTGCAATGGACTCAAAAAGCAGCAAGTATGGACTTCAGTTAATAATTATGTTTCAACACTGCCTCATTAGTTGTCACAACTACCACAGTAAAGGAAGGTGTTAACGATCTTCTGTACCATCCTCGCAAGCTTTTCCGTAAATCTAAAATTACTCTAAAATAAAAAGTGGATTTAAAAAGGAAGGAAGAAAGGTAGACAGGAAGGAGCAATTTGCTGCTTACTTCCTCATACGGGTGTTCCCGGCTTGGTCTTTCTTTTGGAAAGGATAAGTCTAGAAAGTCAACCAAATAGTCATATCCTCCAGGAAAAGGGCTGAAGTCCTCATCTGTTTCAATCATCTGTGCAAATGACAACATGGTAAAGGCAAGAAGCATATAAGTCTGGTGGTCAAAGTCTTCTAAAAATCCTGGACTGTGTAAGACCCAAACATCCTTAAATGATAGCAATGAATTGGAGTTCGTATATTCCCTCCCTCAATCTCTCTCTCTTGAACTGATAACATTCAAATCCTAACCTTCTACACAAGCAAGCTTCTTCACATCACTAACTTCAATCAAGTTTACAGAGAAGATTATCATCATCTTGAGTATTGTTAGTAATGAGACAGCAAACACCATGATAAGTTTGTAGGCAAAGGAAGAAATAAAATGTGCAATGTTTCTCATCATTAAATAGCAGCTAAACAGCCATGGCTTCATGGAAAATTCCAAATATTTTCTCTTTTTCATACTGATTGTCCAACTGAAAGTAATCATTTAGACCAATGCTCTCCAGGTCTCTGGACTTCAAAGACAATTTCCTAAAAAATATTCGGGAGCTAATATAAGCACCGATGTAGTGCCTTTGAATGACACAAAGGGTTGGGGGCACAGACCCCTTCCTGCTCCCACTCCTGTGCACCTGAAACACCATGTATAACTTGACTCCCCCACAATATAATAGCATGTTGACTAGAAGCCTTACCGATAACATAAAACATAAACACGTTTTTTATGTAATATGTATTGTATACTGCATTCTTACAATAAAGTAAGCTAGAGAAAAAGTGTTATTAAGAGAATCCTAAGAGGGGCACCTGGGTGGCTCAGTCATTTAAACGTCTGACTCTTGGTTCTGGCTCAGGTCATGATCTCATGGTTCGTGAGTTCGAGCCCTACATCAGGCTCTGTGCTAACAGCATGGAGCCTGCTTGGGATTCTCTCTCTCTCTCTCTCTCTCTCTCTGCCCCTCCCCTGCTGTCTCCAAATCAATACACACTACATTGAAAAAAAGAAATACATAGGAGAATTTACATATATACAGTATTATATTTACAGTCCTCAATTGTTAAAAAAATCTGCTTATAAGTGTCACTCAAGAGTCAACCGCATTTTATTTCCCAGTGAGGACTGAAAACAAGTCTTACATCTACTTTTATTTCATTAGGGGAAGAATGCTTTGACACTTCAAAAACAGAGAGGACCTAATCTTGGAATAATGACAATTCATCCCAAGAAAAGAAAGCTGACAACTTTGTAACCATACTCGTAAGCATACTCAAACTTACTCACCACTGACCGGAGAAATCATTGTCATAGACTGGCACCGACCCCCGGGCCAGGTTTTAGGAATCATTGCCTTTAAGAACGGCAAGAATTGCCTGGTATTACCGTTCAGGGGTTGAAAGGTAAACCTGGGAATAGTCCTCACTCTGAGGGGCCCCAGTCCTTGTCTCTAAGAGCGAATGTTGTCTATTGCCTGATGCGCTGTCCCTAAACTTTGCGCACTAAATAGAAGCCGGATAAAATATACATGTGAGTGGCTGGTTACTCCAGCCCCTGCAGTACTCCTGGCCCACTGTGGCTCCCTCTTTCTCTTGCACCTCCTACCTGTTAGTATTTACTTTGCTTTTGGAGACACTTTTAGCTTCGGTGGCCAGGTTATAACTCGAACCGCTTGGCTTGTGAGCCCTGTTATGTACATGCTGCAGCGAATATAAGTTTCAGACCTCCAGCCTAGATCTAGCACTTAACCTTGTGCTTAAACCTCATGGTTTGTGCAATCTGATTCTTACCACAGCTGCAGATAGGAGGCACCTGTTTCTATGTCACCCAGCTACAAGTCAGGCGGGTAGCACCTTCCAGCCCCACAGCGTAAAGAGCTGTTTCTGCCAATGCTAAACAAAACAGAACACCCACAAAACCCACAACAACAATCATGGGACAAGAATGCTCCCAAAGCCAAAGTGAGCTGGACCTGAGGGAACATGCCCTACATTTGGCGCTTAAGGCAGGCTTATTGAGAAATAAACTGGAATGCTCAGGGGGTTTCCTCTAGTTCCATAATACAAGAGGAAAGACAGACAACACTTATGGCGTACCCTGACCACCAGGTTGTAATCCTTAAATCCCGCCCAAGTGAAGTATTCTTTTATCCAGGATGAGTGAAGAAATATCTCATCTCCTACAGCAGCATTCAAGATGTTCAAATAGGGTTCAAAGTCCCAGGAATCCTTGTAGATCTTGGTCCCCTCTGGAGGCTCTATGATGCCCTTGCTTAAAGACACAAAGGTGACAGTTAGTCATATTGCGACAATGTGAATCCCCTGGCACTGATGACTATATTATGGTTATGCAGGACGTTAACGTTAGGGAAAGTCTAGGGACGGGACTATGGGAAAACTCCACATCTTTTGTAACTTTTCCCTAAATATTAAAAAAAAATCATAAATTACATTAAAAATTAAAAAAAAAAACCCATCATTGGATTCCCTCTTGAGTCCTTGTAGGAGAGCTCAGTCTATGGAAGCTGTGTGGCCACATACATGTCCCATAAAGAGATTGGTCCTGGAGGAGCTGGAAGGGTAGTGAAGGTTTACGGGAATGCCAAGAGCGCTGTTACTTCTTTTATTTATTTATTTATTTTTTAATGTTTACTTTTGAGGGAGACAGAGACAGAGTGTGAGCAGGGGCGGGGCAGAGAGAAAGGGAGACAGAATCCGGAACAGGCTCCAGGCTCCGAGCAGTCAGCATGGAGCCGGACGCGGGGCTCGAACTCACAAACCGTGAGATCATGACCTGAGCCGAAGTCGGATGCTTAACCGACTGAGCCACCCAGGTGCCCCAAGAGTGCATACTTCTGGGGAGGCTCCCTCCTGCACACACTTGAGCGACGGCCCCAGACATCTGTTGCGTGTCCAGAAGGCACATTACCCGAGGTGGCTGAGTACGTGTGACACTTTCGGATGCCTCTGCCTATCCAGGTGGAATGTGGCCGCTTGAAGGAAATCGCTGATGGCCGCAGGGCCTGACCGCCCCGCAAGGTGGCTGCAAGGAGGCGCCTAGTCAGAGCGTGCGTGTACAAAGGGGGGATTCCACAGGGAGAAAGAAGGGCACGAAAGTGAGAGAAGCCATAAACAAGGAAGGCAAAAGTGAGCCCTTCCAGATCAACAGTCAACCAGACAGTAGCCGTCAGAATGCCTGGATGATTTGGAAACGTCCCACAGAAGTTCCTGAGGAGACATGTGAGGCGTGGGGCCTGAACCCCAACCTGCACCGAGCTGTGAATCGGCCAGTGTGGTGGGTTTCCAAGTCAGAATACATTTCAAGGTCAAAGTCCATGTCCGGGGGGGGGGGGGAAGGTTGGAAAACCACTGATCTGGGCCCTTTTGATTCAAGTAGCTAAACGATAGAAGTGTTGAATATAATGTCATATTTATGTTGCGGATGTCCGCTCACGGTCCCGCCCCCAGCCTCCGCGGAATGGAAGTGTGGGGGAAGCAGCAGCATGACTGGCACTTAGAAGGGGCTCAACAAGTCTCTGTTGAGCGTCTCAGCGAGTTTAGCCTAGCTTCGAGAAACAGCCAGAATTTGGGTCCTCTGACACGTGGTCCTCCTACTGTACTGATCAAACCACAGCTGAGATGGACAGATGGGCAATTTTATTCTGAAACCCGGTCAGCAATCTGGATAACCGAGTTCTCTGACCGCCCCAGAGCTCTGTCCATCCAGTGCGGAGAGGGAATCACCGCATGAAACACGGAACCCTGAACCCTAGAAATGGAACGGGATGTGAAGGGGGCAAGGGAAATCCAAGGAGGGAAACAGGCACCTGTCTACTAAATACCTGGCAAGTCACTGTAGGTCTGTACGCACCACTCCTCAACACGATGCTTTTGGTCCATCGTTCTCCCAAAGCTACAGACGCGCTAGCTTCAGTGAGAAATTACTTAACAGAATCCCAAAGCTTCTACCTTGGAAGTCAATCTCAGAGCTACTTCTGCAACTCCTTGCCGGGTCTCGGCTTAAAGCCACACTCATTTCAGGCCCCCCCGCTGCCTTCTCGACTGGAGCTATTCTCCCTGTAGCCTCTTGCCCAGTTCACGCTCCTCTGCAGGCTGAAATGGTTTCTCCAGAACATAACGCAGTGATGTGCCTGCTTTGCTGAGTAACTGTCTCAAGCGCTAGTTACTCCCAGGCAAGCTCCCTGTGTGGTTGCACGAGGCCTTTGTGACCCTGGCCCCCGCACCTGGCGTCTGGCATTCCTGCTTCATGAGGGAAGGACATTTTCACGGCTGTGTCCCTGTACCCAGTAGTACCTAGGCAGGTATACCAAAGGAGCTCAATAAATCGTTTCTGAATGAATGACATACACTTGCTCACCGGTTCAAAGTGTCTGCGCGCATCAAACTCGCAACACCATCGACCCCTCCCTTCGCCAGCACACGCCATTCCCTCTGGAATCTGGAATCTCTCCTTCCCTCTCTCCGTCCCTCTCATTCGCTCCCTCTCAATTACTCTACTGGTAATCCCTTCCCCTCTGAGACCTAGCTCAAATGCCAGAGATTTCAGATTGAGCTTTTCTTGACCACACTTCCTGTTCTCCCACCCCCTCCTCCCCTCACCAGGCAGAGGGAAGCACTTAGCCTTCCACGTCCCTCACACTCCGTGTCATTACTGAGAACCCAACAGCGCTACGCTCTTGTCACCCAGAATGTTCGGTAAGATGCAGTGATACAAATGCACATCCCCAGGCTCTACCTCGGATCCAGAGCCCCGGGGGGTGGGGCTCAGGGATCTGCATTTACCCAAGTTCCTCAAGGTTATTCTGTTTGCGAATTCCTGCTCCAGGATGCGTCCGGAGGACAGGACCCAGAAGATACGGAGCTCAGCAAACGCCAAATGACAAAGGCTCTCGAATGCCCCTCTAATACCGGAATAATTAACAACTTCTCTTATCCTTGATCTGGAGAGTAAAAACTGCTTTTATCCTAGAAGCACTGGGGGGGATCTTAAAGAATCTGAAGCAGGAAGGAACAGGAACGGTTTTGTATTTTGAAAAGTTTACTCTGGCAGCGAAGTAAAAACTTCTCTTACCCTTGATCTGGAGAATAAAAACTGCTTTTATGCTAGAAACACTGGGGAGATCTTAAAGAATCTGAAGCCAGAAGGAACAGGAAGGGTTTTGCATTTTGAAAAGTTTACTCTGGCAGCAATGTGGAGCGGGGGCTTATACACCTTTTGCCTACGGTCCCTGTAAGAATTAACATTGAATCATTATATCAGGACCCTGGGGGTCCACCAAGGGTACCTCTGACACGAAAGTTTCCTGAAATAATCGTTCCCCTTTATTATAGGCAAGGTACTCGGGTGTATTCTATTCTGTTCGATTTCATTTTTCAGAAATGCAGGTTGTAATGAATGTCATTGATTTTTATGACCCACCAAAAACCACCATGGATTTTGACCAGCAGATTGGAACTGGCTGGTATAGAGAACACAGATACAGGTACAGACAAGTCAGGGGCCACCGTGGGAATCGAGGCTAAAAATTATGAGAAGCTGAATGAAGGCCATGGCAGAAAAGGCTAGAGGCAAGTGATGGAGTTATGGGGGGTTTATGGAGGAGAAAGGACTGGCTTCAACAACCGGTTTCACACAGGAAGTCAGCAAAGGGTCAGAATCGCTAACCCCTGCCTTGGCAGGGGTGAGGCCGGGAGCAGGTGTGCCCTTTTGGTTAACTGTGTGATTCGCTCTCTAACTCACCCCATCAGTTTCTAAATTAGGGTGAGGAACTTATGGTTTCATTTGGCTCAATACAAGTGTTTACAAAAACATAGGTCTGTGACATCAATGTTAACTTTTCTCGAATCGCACCCCCGATGCGAGGCTACTTGCTCAGATGTGCTCTGCGTGGGACAGGCGGTGGGATAATGTTTATGCTGATATGAAAACCAACTCTCGTGTCCGTTGCGTTTTACTTCTTTAAGGCAACTTCTTTTTGAGCCTATCAACGGTCCCTGATAGGAATAAAACACCCTCACCCTTCATCCTCAAATAAGGTTCTGAGATGAGGAAAACATTTGAGTATTTGTTACGTCGCATGAGAAACCTACGGGAAAACTCAATCTTTTCCCCCTTAGATCTGAAAGATACTTAATGGTTTATTTAAACAGCAAGACTTCCATTTCTAAAGGTGACGTGTGGATCTGATTCCATGAGAATCTCAGCATGCCAGTCAACAAAGACTTAATATTCCTACAAACGAGGACCTGTCAAAAGGCCACAGGTATGCTCTTTATTTTCTCACAAAATTGAAAACCATTCGTAAACCATCCTTAAGTCTCTATAAAGACTCAAACCAAACCTGTCTGTCGGGTCCTTTAGCATCCGACTCAGATCGAGAGTGGCTCCAGGCCGTGGGGTCCACGTTACCACATCAGAGTTTTTCTTGATAAGATTGTTGAGTTCATTTGGGTCATTTTTGATATTTGTTTCCTTAATATACCTGTGAAAATAAGAGCATGCTTATGTAAGAAAGCAATTAATTCTCAGATGCACAGTCGGAGTAGCACGATGCTAGAATTTTTTTGTCTCTTCATTCCCACTTACCAGTAACTTACCGCATGGAAAAATAAAGACTATACTTGGCCTAATGTCCCTAATTAGGGAAGAATTATTAGTCCAAGAAGTTGTACTTACACTTTGTCTTTAAGTATAATCATATGGTGATTGGATGTAAAAAGACCGACTATTTTTAACAGGTGGGAATAGCACACGCTTGTATTTGATATTAACTAAACGTACAGATGACGAAGTATTATTCGATAGGAATAATACTAAGCACTGACCATGAACTAGTCAACTTTACCTTCACAGCTCTAATGAGACAGCTACCATTCATGCTCTCACTGTAGAGAGAAGGGGACTAAGGCTTTGAAAGGCCAGGTGACTTGCCCAAGGTCACCCCCCTGGACGGCAGTGCCCACCCGGCTGTCCACCACACCGCACAGCCAGGAGGCCACAGGAAGGAGCTTCTCCCCCAGTTTGGGATCCAAGTCTGAAAAGTCGCCACTCGTCATGTGCGGTTATACGCGAGAAGACGGCCAGCTGCGAACCAGGAAGCCAGCGCTCACTCAACACTGAATCTGCAACTTGATGTTGGACTTTCCAGCCTCCTGAGAAATGAACCTCAGTTGTGGAGCACACGTACCTTCAGTCATAGCCCTTCCTGACACCTAGCTTCTCACTGTGCTACCGAGCCGAGCCGACCATCTCCCAAATTTAATTCCAAACCACAATCTTTCTGGAAATCACCATTTCAGGGTCATATGGGAAGGTGGTGGTGGGGCTGGGGCAGAGAAGGGGCGATCCAGAGAAAAAGGATTTGTCCCTGTGTTTCACCTGACACGGGTTATATAGACGGACATTTCTATTAAAGGGAATTTAACCTCCTTGAGCTACAACCCGCTCACCTAGACTGGATACAGAATTTTAGTCTGACAAATACAAAACATATGTAAGCACCTGGATTTCTACAGCACCAGGGGACTTACATCACCTTACGACCCTGGAATCCATTCGGCAGATATGAGTGAAGACGGCACTCCACCCACAGATGCGAGTAGCTTTTCCCTTCCCACTGGCATTAATGAACCTCCAGCAGGGTAGAACTCACTTCAAAGCAGTTGCCACCATTCTGTCTTTTCTTACGACCTCTAGTCTCAAGATGGTTCACTGCCTGGTCTCTCTGCCTCCCATCTTGTCTCCAAACCACGATACTGTCAGATTACTCTTCCTAAAACACAATGTGTGGTGTTCACAAAATTCTGTCACTTCCTGATGCTTCCCTGTCTCCCTCTCTAAAATAATAATAAAATCAATACCGAGGTGCTGCCCTCTGAGGGGTACCGCGAGCGCTGAGAGCAACATTTGTCCATTGCTTACACACAGAAGAGTGGCTTGCCATAACTTTAAAAGGCAGCATTTTAAGCAGCCAAGTGTCCTGTAATCAAGTATGCACGACATCTGGTTCTTCTCCACATTCTTGGAATTCAGTCTCCTTAATGCCTCTGGAATCTGAATTCCCTTCTCACTCCCCACTGTCACTCACCATCCTCACAATAATAGATAGATTATTGTCATAGTTCTCAAACTGGTCTCTAGGATCAGTATTGCCCTTTCCCTTCCCACCGCACAGACACATGACCTAACCCCGCTCTGATCACATCGCTGTTCCTCATCAGACTCTTTTATTGGGTTCCTCATGCCTTCAAGATAAAAATCCAAGCCACTTGCCGTGGAAGACACAAGGCTGTTCACTGTGTGGCTTCCTGGTTTCTCCCACCACGCCTCACATAGCTTCCTTAGTCCCCTCTACTGAGCTCTGTCATCTCAGCATCTTACTGTCTTTTCTGGTCAGTGTCTACTCCTACTTCGAAACTGACCCTCACCGTCTCACCCGGTGCTCATTTTCTGACCCCCACTGCCTCCTAAACACACAGGTGTCCTACACTTTTCGTGTTGTATCATGATGGTTTTTCTCTTCCAGGAGACGATCGCTCGGAACACTATCGTTTATCTCTGCTTTTTCAGTACCTAGACCAGTGCTGCTCAGAAAATGATAAATGAATGCATAATGAACAGTACTGATCAAAGGAAATGACTTTTTAATCTTAGGTCAGTCTTTACAGAAAGATCAGGAAGATATGGGGTCGCTATATAATTCCACAAGAAGGTGGGAAGAATGGAAACACATCTGCGATAGGATGTATTAAACACAGCAAATAGGACGTGATTAAACATGTGCCGATAGTTCCTCCGAGAACATGGAACGTTCAAGTGAGAACAGTCATGTTTTAATGAGGACACAAATGAAGCCTAGAAAAGTCAAATAATTGCTTCTAACGAATGATAGAGGGAAGACCTAAATTCCATGTGCATGATTTCTTCTATGGTGCTGTGCTGCCTGTAATGGAGGAGAAATCACGGCTGGTCCCTACAGGATTACTGTTATGAAAACTCATCTTGAGGACTGGTTTCTTTATTATCCAATAGATTTATAATAAATTTATAATTCTGTAATATCCAGCAAACTGGTACAATGACATATGCATTGCCTGTCTGCACACGTCTGTCTTTTGTTCACAGAATGCTCCCGGTAGGGAGGACAAAGAGGCTCGTCACAAGGCAGATGGTGCTTGTAGTTGCTCATGAAAACAATATTGCAGTAAGAGGCTGAGTCACTGCATGTACTAAGGATAAAATAAGCTTTATATATAATTACAGAATCTTATAAAAGCAAAATTAATCTATAAGGTAGTAGTATTTAAAATAAAACTGTGCTTCCAATACGACAACATGGATAAGTTATATATATTGTTTTTCCAAGGGGTTATGGGTGCCATAAAATGCGCAGCCTGGGGGCGCCTGGGTGGCTCAGTCGGTTAAGCGTCCGACTTCGGCTCAGGTCATGATCTCACGGTCTGTGAGTTCGAGCCCCGCGTCGGGCTCTGTGCTGACAGCTCAGAGCCTGGAGCCTGTTTCAGATTCTGTGTCTCCCTCTCTCTCTGCCCCTCCCCTGTTCATGCTCTTTCTCTGTCTCAAAAATAAATAAACATTAAAAAAAAATGTGCAACCTGACTGTATCACAAACATGACTCAAACAAATACACGAGTTTTAACTACCATGGCTGAAGGTGTTAGGAATAACTATTTGCTTTGTTTGTTTTTTAATTAAAAAAAATCAATTTACATTCAGTATTTTTACTTTTTGAGAATGGCTCTGTGAATTTTAACACATGTACAGATGTGAGCAACCGCCACCGCAATCAGTATACAGAGCGGTCCTATCACCCCTCAAAACTCTCTCGGGTTGCCCCGTTTCAGTCAAACGCTTCCCCCTAGTCTAAACCCTGGCAACCACTGATCTGTTCTCCACCCCTATAGTTTTGCCTTTTCCAGAATGCCTTATCAACAGAATCATACAAGATGTCAACTTTTGAGACCGACTTTCTCCACTTAGTATGATGCCTTTGAGATTCATCCATGTTGTTGTGTGTTATCAGTCTTTTCTTTGCAGTGTATTCCGTGATGTACACATCGTGGTCTGTTTAGCCACTCACCTGTGAATGATATTTGAGTTGACTTCGTAATCATGAATAGAGCTGCTATTAATATCTGGGTACAGCTTGGGTGTGAATAAAAGTTTAATTTTTTTAGGCCAAATACCCAGGAATGGAATTTCTGGGTCATGTGATAAGTGCATGTTGAAAGAAACAGCCAAACAGTTTTCCAGAAGGCTGGGCCAGTTGGACTTCCCAACAGCCATCTGTGAAAGCCCCGTGGCTCTGCATCCTTACCATAACTGGCTACTGTCCATTTTCAAAAGTTTGTTATTTCACTGTGGTTTTAACCTGTATTTCCTAATGGCTAATGATACGAGCACATCATTTCTTATGTTGATTTGCTTCTATATAGCTTCTTTGGTGAAGTATCCGTTCAAATGTTGCATCCACATATTATTGTTTCCTGACATTGGTTTCTGAGAGTTCATTATAGATTCTGGATACACGTTGTTAGTCAGATATTTGATTTGCAAATATTTACTCATGGTCTTTAGTGTATCTTTCACAGAGAAAGATTTTTTAATTTTGATGAAGTCCAATATATTAAACTTTTCTCTATGGATTGTTTTTGGTGTTATATATAAGAAGTCTTTGCCTAACTCATGGTCATGAAGATTTTCTCCTGCCTTTTCCTCTAAAAGTTTTATAGTTTTACATTTACATTTAGGTCTATGATATCCTTTGACTTATTGTTTTGGTATACAATATGGGGTCTTAATCGAGATTCACTGTTTGCATGTCAATGTCCAATTGCTCTATTAATATTTACCGAAAAACTCTCTCTTTTCTGTTGAATTGTTTTTGCACCTTTGTCAAAAATCAACGGTTATATTTGTGTGGATCTATTTCTGGACTCTCTTCTCTGCTCCACTGATCCATGTGTTTATCCCTTCATCAGTCTCATGCTATCTTGATTACTGTCGCTTTACAGCAAGTCTTAAAAGTGGGCAGCGTGAGCCCTCCAAATTTATTCTTTTTCAAAATTGTTTTGGCTATTCTAGTTCCTTTGCTTTTCCTTATAAGTTTTATAGTTAGCTTGTCTGTATGTACAAAAAATTCTGTCAGGATTTTGATGGGTACTGCACTGAACCTACAGATTCATTGAGAGATAATTAAATAGTGACTATAACAACACACTCTTAACCAATAAATCACAAAATTACAAGGTAAGTGAGAAAATACTTAGTGATAAAATGAAAACAAAAATACAAAATACAAAACCCATGAAATGTAGTAAAGGCTGTGCTCAGAGGAAAATTGATAGCTCTAACATCTGTATTAAAAAAGATCAGTAGAGGGGCGCCTGGTTGGCTCAGTGGTTAAGCGGCCGACTTCAGCTCAGGTCATGATCTCACGGTCCGTGAGTTCGAGCCCCGCACTG